GATAAAAATGCTTTCTTGGGTTCCGAGTGAGAAAATAAGATTAAAAATATTAAAAGTAGCGATTTTTACTCAGGGGAAATTTTCCTCTTAGAACAAGCCGGAAAAAAAATTAATTCAATAAAAGTAGAGCCAATTAAGAGAATTAATGATAAAAATAAAGAGGTTGATAACTTAGTTATTAAGCAAATTGTTAAAGGCGAAATTAATGCTCTTCCAAATGGTTTTCAAAAAGGTAATTTTTTCAACGAATTATTGAATTTGCAAGGAATTATCCAGACAATTAAAGAAACGAATAAAGAAGCAAATATCATAATTGTTTCTAATGAAGATGTTAACAAGTTAATTAAAAAACTTAGCGATTTCAAAAAAAAAGAAAAAGAGAAAACTAATACTACTTGATGAAAAAAATGAAATGAAGCAAGCGAAAATGAAGCCGAGAAACTTCTCGATAGTTTAAAAAGGACATTAAAGGCTCGGCAGAAACTGGAAGAAGCGATTGAAGCCACACCAAAAGCCAAAACTAGTGGGTTGATTGAAGAATTGGAGGGTAGGAGCGGAGAAATTAAGTTAGAAGACATTACAGAAGTTTTGCAGAAACTCCAAGGTTTAGTTCCACGAGAATCTTATTGAGATGGTTCCTCATTGGGGAATAATGTTTCTCTAACTGGTAAACTTCTAACCCGCGAGCAATTTTACGCTTATCGAAGGAAAGAATGAGCAAATGAAGATGGAACAATTGCATTAGAATCATCTAAACTAACATGAAAAAGGGTTAGCCAACGCGAATTGGAGTTATTAAAAATGGCGGCGGTTTGGGTCGACCACGAGGGAGAGAAATGAGAACCCAACCTTTCTGACGAGGAAAAAACAACTATTAATGGTGCTACTGACCGAGAAAATTTAAAAGATATCCAAAGAGAAATTCGTGCCAAACGCAGCGAATCCCCTTGGGAAAAATTTTTCCAAAAACGCGAGATTAAAGAAGAAAGCGATAAAAAAATTTGGCAAGGTGCTTATTCTACTCTAAAAGGATATGAAGAAGCTGAAAACTATTTATCCAAGGTTCTAGAAAAAGATGCCGATAATAATGGTTGAGAAGCCAAATTAACCAATACTCAAAGGGAAAAAATTGAGCAAGCCAAAAATCCAACCCAAATTAAAAATATCAAGCAAGAAATTGCCTGAGAAATATTTTTTGCGGCTCATAAGATTGAAAATGAAGAGCAAAAAAATAATTGGAAAATTGTGGCCGGTTCCAAAGTTGAAAAGGCTAAAAAAATTTGGAGTAATGGTTGACGAGAAATCAAAACGGTAAGGGAAAGCTTTCCATTACATGAAAATTATATGACTTATACGATACCAGGTTGAGTTGGTTTTTTTCATGTTTGTTGCCTAGATAAATATCACCAAAAAGATATTAATAAAATTTCAGAAATATTAAAAGAAATTTCTATTACTAATAATTTAACCGACTTTCGGAAGATTGACTTGGATAACCTAGGTTATGATGAAAATTTTGTCCCTGCTGATTATGGACACAATAAAATAAAAGAGTTATGAAAAGCCAAAGAATTAAAAGTTATTTAAAACTGCTTTTGAAGGAACTGGTGCTGATGCAGTGGAAAGTTATTCAATTTGG